AGCCATATTGGAAACACAATATCAGCTGATTTGCTTGGGTTTAGAAGCGTATGGTGTAAGAAGGAGCAAAAACATGCAAAAACAGCTCTTGACCTGATCCACCGCCTGGCGCTGTACCAGTCAGTAAGGAAGGATCCTTTACAGAAAAATGATTGTGGGCCAGCTGAAGAGGACTTTCGTCGAGTCCAACGAGAGACAATGCTCAAGGGTGGGCGAACTAATTCCCGAGAACAAGAAGGGCTCTGGTTGTTGCGGTTTCGAACGATGAGTGCTGTGCACCAACATGCCAACCCTATAGGACTAGTCTTCCTCCTTTTCATTCCAGCCAATCCCAAAAAAACCCAGTGGCACCAATTTAGATCGATGGTTAGAGCACGTTCATACTTAGCGGCGTCCGCGGGCGTTTTGAATGAGTAGGAAATTTTAGTTGTTGATCCAGCGTTTAGGCATCCGCTAGCTTTCAGCGATAACCGATACCTCTACAATCCTAGTCGCTCAAAACGCTGCCGCAAGTATGAACGCACATTTAGCTTGAGATGTAACCTCAAAATGCAGGACAATGCTGGCCCTGAGTGGGACTGATCATCACCAGCGCATTTATCCGACCGGAATCCTATCGAATCAGGTCAGGAATTCTCCCGAACTGCGAAAGAAATTCTTGGAATTTTTGGCTTTTGAAGCTTTTCTGGTTTCTGGGTTGAACTCTTCACACTCTTCCTCGATGGTGATTTTATGGGGGGGGGGGAAACTGGGAAGAAAGATCTTGGTATAAGTTATTAAGATGGTAGGTAGGATATAGGCACGGGATTGTACCACAGCTAGAAACCCCGCGGACCCCGAAGAGGTTCTGACATCGATATTCCTTCCATGGTGAACAAGCGAAGAGATTAGAAATGTATTGCCAGATCCAGAAAACTCCAGAGAATTCGATCGGTCTGAGGCTGGAGGACCAGTTAGCGATAAACTCAGGAACAAGAGCACATACAATAGAGAGAAAACTCACGAATAACTGTACTGGCTCTGGTGATTTCCTTTTTATACCCTGGGACATATAAAGGGATGACATTACGTAATAGACCGCGGCTCAGCTGACTCATTTAAAGGTGTAGAGGGCGTTTCTCCGCTGCGGTCCCGACATGAAAACATCAGCTGAGGGGCAATCAATACATGGGCGAATGATGTCGAGCTCCATAGGTGGCCTTGGTCGCAATCATTTTCGATCCAAGTCTCTCTGCTGGGGTGCTGGAATGTTTTTGAACGGGGCTTTCACTTGAGGTGCCTTCTTTTCACCATACAGTTTGCCTGTACATGTTGAACATTAGTTCGTAGTCATTCCTCGTGGGGTTTTCCCTCAAATAAACTAAGCCGGCGGGGACCAGTCCTGCGACTCGCACTTGCCCATCATTCTTCAGTATACTTCCTGGGCCTCTTTCAATTTCTGAACTTCAACCGTTCCTTCTCTTACGGCCGACCATGCCATTGAAGTTTCACAGTGAACTTCCCACAAAAGCGGCGTTTGGCTACGGTTCTACGCACAAAGAATCTGCACTCTGAGAAAACAGAATTCATACGCCTATCTGATTAAATCCTGTTCTCTCAAATTACGCGAAATTTAAGATTTTCCCCAAATGCCACAGAACGCGAAGCTGAACTACTAATTTCTATCTAGCCCTTGTCGTCAAGTAGCCATGTTCCCAATTCTTCAGATTCGCTGTTTCTTCAAGAGTCGTACTGTAGAGTGCGCGACCCACGCAAATGACCAGGGACTTCGATGCGGGCATTGCTTGCCAGTTAGAGCAGATTACTCTAACAGCTCTGCCACTCTTGCGATGACGGGCCGAGGATTGGATCATCTTGCTGCTTTGGAGAGTGACTTTTCCCTACTTTGTTTTTCTTTGGTCTAATTAGGGATGGATCATGGTTGAGAAAGACCGCTGCAAGCTGTGTTCCCAATCCGCACGCCGATCGCACCCACCCTATCGCTTGCGGGTATCGTGATTGTACAAAAACCTTCTCGTGAGCCCGTTGGCCGATGTTAGCGCGCGTGATCTACTCTTATGACCGACTTTAGTTCACCCTGAAAATGCTGACCCATCTCTCTCAGCATCGAAACTCGTCGGTTGTCTCAGTCTTTGATGAGCCTCTGCCTAAATCCAATAGCGCCATTACGTTCGTTTATTTGACAGTGCGCACTCCCCCCCCCCCCCCACTTATCCTTTCGATACTGACAGTCGAATCTTCAGGAAAAGAGGACGAAGGCCAGCCCGTCACGGAATTCTCGTATCCTATCTTTTGTTTTGACATTAGTTTTACAACGCAAGAAGATGTGCTGACGCACTCGTGTCTCGTCGCGATAGCGATCCGTTAATACCGTAATCGTTTTGAATAAAATTTGTTTTCGTGCCTTATGTGCATGAAAACATTGGCGCCTTTGCTCATGTTATTCATGCACGACAACCCTGTTTTTATATTGTTGGGATTTAGCCATTGAAATTCTGCTGAACTTCATACTTTCAGCCTCAACTAACCTCTTCGAATGGAGCCGCTACTTGCTGCACCCCGGCTTAGTGCCGCCTTCGGTAAGAAACTTTTGAATTCGCTTCAGCGCTAAAATGTTTCCAAAAGGGGGTATCTTCTGGAGTGGGACCGAAGAAGTGATTACTTTGATCCGTTGACACTTCATTGGTCCACTTTTGTAAAATTGAGTCTCAAATCCCATTTCAAGATTTCCAGGTTCCTCAAAGGATTGCGTTCTTTCATACTTTGTGGGCGTTTGGAGCTTCTGTCAGCGTTTCGAGCGACTAGGGAAGTACAGGTATTGATCAAACGTCAGATCGATACCTACACATTCCTAGTCGTTCAAAAAGCTGACGCAAAATATGAACACATCCCTGAACTTTGCATTTCAGCTAGCATGTTGCTGTGGCAGTGCAGCTTGTTCGCTGTGCTGCGCCGCCTGCCCAACTGCTCGTAATTCGACTACAACTCGCATTATGTATGCAATTATGCTATTTGTTGGCACTTTTGTCGCGTGCATCATGTTGGCTCCTGGAATTCAACAAAAGTTGGCTGACGTGAGTTTCCTTTCAGTTTGCTGTTTTGAACCTGCCGCCTTCCTTTATCGTAGGAGTCACAGGGAGGGGAATTCTGTTGGAACATTGCCTAGAGCGCGTTCATACTCTGCAGTTTGATCGCTCGGGTCGCGCGATGGAAGCCGCCGTTGCGGCGGTCCACCGACAGGCGAGGAGCGCCCGTGGCCATGGTCGCGCGATTGAATCGCTAGAGCGATCCGATATCGTGATTCACTTGCTCGCGCAGTCCAGACGATCGGATCGCGAATTACGAACGCGCTTTCAGATTTTTGGTCATCCAAAAAAATGCTGTCGACAAGGTCCGTATAAAAGATTCGAAGCCATGTCCTCTTCTTACCTCTATTTTGACTTCGAAACTCCGTCAAAAACTACATTTTGCTTCTGCTAATCAACGAACACAGCTGTTCTTTTCCCTGAAACTCTGGATTTTCAGAATAACTGGTTCTGTCAAGGGCTGAGCGAATATGCTGGTCTAAACTGCGAACGAGCGACGGGCTTCCAGGCTGTTTACAGGTACGTCTTTATGTTTATGGTACTTCGTATTCCTTAGGGTACTTCGTAAGCTGGTAATTTCCGAGGGGGAGGGTCGTATCTGGTTATTGGGGTCGTAAATTGTCTGAAGAAGCACGACGCGCCCCGCTCGGGATTGCCGGGTGCATTCTTCGCATGTGGTAGCTTTTCAAAAAATATCACTCTGGATGCGAGTTTGCAATTACTTGATGGTGGTTGTTTTTAGATTCAGAATAGTTTCTTTAGGATGTGCGCAGCAATGGCTTCATTCTACTTCATTTTTATGCTGTTAATGTTCGGAGTCAAAACATCGAAAGATCCGAGATCAACAATACAAAACGGATTTTGGTAAGTATTTTTCGATACAGATGGGAGTGTTGACTCAAAGGCGCGCTCGCTTTCAAAAATGGTGAGTTGTGCTACTCAAGTGTATAATAACAAGATGAAAATTAACAAGAAGAGAAGAGCAAGCGGAACTATCGACAAAGCTGAAAAATCCGCCCGGAATGCCTCGAACAGAACACCATCTGAACCGCGCTTGTACGCGCATAAGCGAAGAAAGTGTGTGGGACGAGTCCTCAGTTATGGGTACGAACTTGTTCCCCTTACCACCTGACTCTTGCCGTTCGAAATGGAGAGCTTAGTGGATAACGACACCACCAGTAAATTTTTAGAAATGAAGTTGGGCGATGCGGTAGCCAGTGAGTTCACCGTGGTTTCATCGCGAGCGATTTCCTCGCGGAGCTTGCCTCTAACCTAATTTTCTCAGTAGCGAGCAGCTTATACTTGCTCATGTCTCCGTCCTTAACGTCCATCAGAAAAGTTCTTATAGGTTCTTCAAATATCTTCTGCTGGCTGGATTGACCGTTGGATTTTTCTTCATTCGTAGTGAGCACTTGTCAACACGTAAGTTCTCTTATTTTCTGTTTTCTCGGGGCTAATTGGAATTATCACCTAAACGCTCTTTATTTTATTTTTCAGCTCTGATGTGGTTCGGTATGATTGGTGGATTCCTGTTCATTCTGATCCAGTTAATCTTGATTGTGGACTTTGCCCATGGTCTAGCCGAGAGCTGGGTAGAGAAGTAAGGGTTCTAGAGCTGGAGTGCAGTCAATTATGGTGTCTCCTCTCACTAAACCCTTTTCAGATATGAAGAAGATGAATCGCGTTGCTGCTATGCCGGCCTGCTCTTCTTCACATTCGGTTGTTATGCTGTAGTAGGAGTAGGAGTTCTGCTCATGTTTCTATTTTACACCACGGTTAGTTTAAATCAAGCAGGATTTCCAACGCAGTTCGGCTTGGGGGCATTTTGCACTATCGCTGCTTCCCGGTGACGTTAGATTCATCAAATTGTGAACTGCGGAAACTTATGAAGCCATGAAATGGTACCACTCAAATGTTATAAAATTCTTGTGAAGTAATGATCACGGCAATGGGAAGCAGCGAATGTGCGAAATGCTCCCTGCGGAACTCCGTTTGATTTTCGGAAACGCGGACGATTATGCTGCGTTCGTACTTTGCGTCAGTGACTACGCGTTTCGAGCATACGCTCAGCGACTAGGGGTCTACTGGCGATCGCCAGAAGTAGGGAGTATGGGAAAGTATTCAGGAGGGAGCAGACAGCTGGTTTAGGCGCCATGGAATGGCGGTGTGTGCAACCCGCACTGTAGTACTGCTCTCCTCTGGTCGCTGGTGGGCACTGTCGAGTATGAACTCAGTCTCGAGAAAGAGCTTCAAGACTTCACCAAGACCATTCTCGCGCAATCCAGCGTTCTGGACCGCTGCCCCAAAGTACGAACGTAGCCTCACACGACTTAGTCACATCAAAGGTGGCCCCTCAACTACATTAGCGCTGAGCATCTTGAAAATGCATTAAATAGGTCTGTTTCAGGGAGCGACTTGTGCTCTACCGAAGGTCTTTATATCTTTCAACGCTTTCTTGTGTCTAGTAGTCAGTGTCCTGTCGATTATGCCGTTTGTGCAAGAAAGGTACTTTTTCAATTCCCATTCCACAGTTCGGCTTGAGAGCGACATTTTGCATTTTTGAGCTACTTTGGTTACAAGATTTACAGGTCCCTTCGAGTGACCCTCTACAGGTTCGCTTAGTGCCGGTTGATAGTCCCTACCAAGGCCGTCGAGCAAGAATGAAGAAAGTAGAGGGGAGGGGTATAATGCGCTTTGTTCTGCCACTGCCTGTAAATTCCTGTAAAGCTCTGGATGTAAAGCTATGCATTAGCATGAGCTTCGTCTACAGTTGACAAGAGTCTCAATACCTTGCCAAGGCGAGATGTGTAATTTGGCAGAAAGTAGCAAAAACTGCGAAATCCCACCTACCCACCCCTACACCGCGCCCCGCCGTACAGCGCCGACATTTCTCTCGAGGCTCGACCTCCGCAATCCATGGTCGCTAGTGGGGATCGACTATGTTGGCTGTGCTGTGTTACCGAGAAATCTTTTGATATTACACGAGTGTATTGTTGGTCGTCAGAAGTGTAGCGACCTTACTTATCCATTTTCAGAATGCCGCGTTCCGGTTTACTTCAGTCAGCGTTCATCTCCATCTACGTCATGTACTTGACTTGGGCAGCTCTTGTCAACAATCCTGGTTGGTTTACGCTCCGATTTTTTTGTGTAGGATCCGTCCAAGAGCGCGTTCATAGTCAGCCTTGAATCATTCAAGCGCTCGACTAGACCGCTGCAACGATAGAATTCAAGTTGGGCAGCGTTCATACAGTGCATGAGCGTGGCTCATTAGCCGGTTGTATCGTGACGGATGAACACACTCACAATGATTTTCTGCTAGTGCTACCCAATACAGCTCTTATAGCCTGCTTTTTCAGACAAACCCTGCAATCCATCGCTTATCAGCATCTTCACAAACGCTACTCGTCCAGGAGATAAAGATGAACACGTGAGTTGAAAAGAGGCTTTTGCAAGTGCAGTTTGGCGATCTGCAGGGGGCATTTTGCACTTTTGCTGCCTCCCATTGTCGTGTAAATTGTTCTACAAGGACTGGCAGGTTTCACTGTGATGGCCCGATGAGCTTGCTCCAGCTTAACGAGAGCTCGAAGGTGCACCACAGTGAAGTTTGTAAACCGAAACTAGTCAGGCGGCGAAAGTGCAAAATCCCCCCCCCCGCCTGTTGCCAAAGCCCCTTTCTGTGTTCGGGTATATGAATAATTATGAATATTGACTGAATGATATGAGGACGTTTACGCTTTCAGACGTATGGCACCCCGTTTGCGGCACAGTCAATTGTGTCGTTAGTTCTGTGGTTCTTGTGTCTACTGTATGCTTCAATTCGAACATCGACAAACTCGTCGCTCGGCAAAATTACTGGTGGAGGTGATAACATGCAACTGAGTGGGTCACGAGACGCGATTATACCTACAAGCGGTGAGTGCGCGGTCCCGCCTTGGAATTAGTTTAGCCAGTAGTAGTCCTGTGAGTGTAGACATCCTTGTTTCCCAGATTAAGCTCATTTGTAGCGAATTCCCAATTCTTGTGACAATTTAGTTTGCTTAGCAGTGAAAGGGTTTGATGTATGGTCTCGTTCGCTGCGGATGAAAGGGCGTGTCATGCGTGATGGGTTTGGCGTGGTGCCAACACGTTCTTTATCAGTTGTTGAAAGGGTAAGCAACAACAGTTGGTGAAAAATACTGACACCAACGACATGATACAGTGGTGTCGCTTGCTCGCTTCAACAGCTGGTGCAAAACGGATTTCGCGCGCGCCAGATCCATCTCGCCTGTCACGCCCCTTCATCCGCAGCGAACAGGATTGTGAGCAAATCTTTACTTTTCTCTTGACCCCGCCCCTATGTAGTAGAGCAATATTTATCCAGACGTCAAAAGCTTTCTCGTCGTTGCTGGTAAAAGGGACCGCGCAACTACCCAGCATGTTGCACGTTGCATGAATTGGTTGGTCTTCGCTTACTGTTCCGGATGTTCAAGTCTTTTCGCTTTTTCTGAAAAGCATGCTGTGCTATTGTGATTCTGCTTTAAGTGTTAGTGTACAGGATTCAGTGTCCTCCCACGAAAAACTTCCTGGTTTTCTCGTGTGCTTTACCTTTTTTCGTAAGCCTGCGCGTTCACATTGGTCTTTGGCTGTGTTCATACTTTGCATCAGCTTTTTGAGCGTACGGCAGCGTATATAGCGTTTCGAGCGCCGCACCATTTTTAAGCCTTTCGCGAGCAGTCGATGAGAATCCTGGGGCACGCTTAAAAGGCTTGATCGATACCTCTACTTTCCTAGTCGCTCGAAACGGTGCTGTACGCTCAAAAAGCTGACGCAGAGTATGAACGCACTCTTAGCTGCATTCACTTTTTGCAGTAGAAAGAATGAGGAAATTGGCAAATCGACGCTTAGGGAGAGTGCGCCTCAAAGAATCGATTCGCGAACGCGCGTTCTTCCGAAACGTTGATTCGTTGGTTCTCCTATTCTCACGAAACGCTAGAAGCGACGATCCGAGCGAACC